TAGTTTCCTCCTCAACTCCAACTTGATTTAGATGACTCATCAAACGTTGTTGTATATGAGGGAGATTAACAAAGTCAGAAATTGAATAAGTATTATTTGGGTCAGAGGAAATGACTTGCAGTTCAGCTGAATTTGACATTCTTGATCCAACTGCAATTGTAACAATCCCTGCAGCCTTTAGCATACTTGCTGGGCCACGTGGGGAATCTTTAGATCTTCCACCAGCCAATAAAATAAGTATTTGTTTGGCACCTTCATTTCGTCGACTACCTGCATTTGAAACAAAGACTTTATCCCGTACAAACTGCAGTGCTGTTCCAATATACTGGGGCCTTCCACCTTTTGGTTTTAAGCTTGTGACATGCTTAAAAACATCATCTCTTGTATTGTAAGTATTCAAATTGAAATTGAGTTCAGGATTGTTGCTATATTGTACAACAGCGACTTTATCTTTTCCTTGGTCCAGGTCAAAGCTGTCAACCATTTTTGCAACAAATTCACGTATAGCAGAGAATCTGCTCCTGACATCATCAGATCCATCAATGAGAAAGACAATGTCTCTAGTCATGCTGGACCTTGAACCTAGAAAACAACCACATGATTATATAATCATATACTTTGATGGAAATGGAATTACTACTGAACTCAAATGTAGTGTGTATGGTTTATACACACATTTTATTTATTAATACGTATATTCACTCACCTACACCAGTGCTGATTGTGACTTTGTGGGATGCAATAGCTGAGAGCAACTGCTCACTCAAAAAAGGAAAGTCAGACTTCTCCTTGACAAAATATTGTTCAATTGGACTTTGTGCCAATTGCTCCATTTCCTGTCTGTCTGCATTATTTACCCAGACACTGAAAAAAACAATCCCAGCCTTTCTCAGCCTTTCCACTGGACCAAAGACATCATCGTCTGACTTTCTCCCTCTTAGGAGAATCAGTATCTGTTGGACTCCCTGCTGGGCTCTGCTTCCAGACGAAGCAGACAACACGTTGTTCTTCACATAATCAAGAGCTACACCAGTGTTCATGGTGGCACCTCCTCTCAGTTTGACATTGCTTAAATGACTCATGACGTTGTCTTTCAGTGAGTATGTGTTCAGGAGAAAATCAGTAGTGGGCTCTATGCTGTACTGAATCAAAGCAACTTGTACTTTGCTGGGACCAATTTGTAATTGCTTTACAATTTCTCTGACAAAATCCAAAATTAGTCTTTCACTCGCTCGCATTTCATCAGATCCATCCAGGAGAAAAACAATATCGGCACTCTGAAGTTCTAATTTAGCAATTGTGGAAGTGTCTGAAATTGATACAAACAAACATTTTACAACATTGCATCTTTACTGTTGAAATAAACATTTTTAATATACCTTCACGTCTCTAAAATTTTAAGCACAATTTAATGATCCACTTCTTACCAATAACGGTGGGAAATTCAGTTGTTTCTTGAGTGCCCCTCATTGTTGCTTCCACAGATGAATGTATGCTTTGCAGATTGTTGAAGTTTGTGACATGAAAATAATGTGCTGGTGTGAAAGAGATGGTTTGCATTTCCAGTGTGTCAGCATTCTTTGTTCCAATACTAAAAGTCTTAATTCCATTTTCTTTGAGTGACTGTGCTGGTCCTCTGACATCGTCCCCTGATCGCCCACCACTGAAAACATACAGGTACTGAGGAACTGATTCTGCATGTCTGCCTCCAACTGAAGCAGCAAAGACATTGTCTCTGACAAAAGCCAGTGCTTTGCCAATATTGAGGGGTCGTCCCAACTTATGCCTCATTGTTCTAATGGAACTGAGCACATCACTCTTGGATCCATAGGAGTTCAAGTAGAAATTGACTGTGGCATCACGGCTGTATTGTACAAAAGCCACTTGGTCTCTGTTCTCACCTAGATTTAAACTTTCAACAGTTTTTTCAACAAAACCACGAATCTCTTCAAAGCCATTTCGTGAGTCATATGATCCATCAACAAGAAACACAACATCATTTTTCTTCGAATCTGCAACAAAGATGAAAATTGTGGAAACAAAGATAATGTGATTTTTTTGCATGTAACAGGTAAGCAGCTACAACTACAGTCAACTATTATTCCCCTTTATTTTATTACTATATAATGTTTTTGTTGAAAAGGTAAAAACAGTTCATCTTACCAAAACCCTTTGTAGGAGCAGTTTGCTCCGTATGAGGGGAAGCCTCCATTAACAATGATAATACATCCCGTGTAGCAGACGGAAGTTCTGCATAATCAGTAACAGAGAGTGAGTACTTGGGTTCATGAGATATTGTCTGAAGCTCTAGGGTGTCTGCATCAGTTGTTCCAATGGTAATTGAGATGACACCAATCTCTCTCAGCTTTCTTACGGAGGTTCTTATGTCATCTCCAGATCTTCCACCACTTAGTAGTATGAGTATCTGTGGAACTCCCTCCAGGAGTCTACTTCCTGTTGCTGAAGTAAAGACATGGTCTCTCACATACTCCAGAGCTGCTCCAATGTTGTGAGGATAACCCCCTTTATGACTTAGACGTCGTACTGCATCAAGCACATCATCCTTTGCTGAGTAATGTCTCAAGTCAAAATTTATTTGTGCAGTGTTACTGTACTGAACCACAGCCACACGATCTTTGTTTGCATCAACGTTAAGGTCTGCCACCACTCTCTGCACAAAGTCTGTAATATCCTGGAATCTTTGCTGAGAATCATCAGAACCATCAAGCAAAAATACAACATCTCTTCTGCTGGGATCTGCAATCACAGGAGAATTTAAAGAAATTGGTTGATGATCAAATTTGTGATGAAAAGTGCTTTATTCTTGTAAATGTTTAATAATTTGCAGTTACAACTGTCTCTTCTATTTAAGCAGAGCATTTTTGTTGATGCAGTCTACACAATGGGACAGCACGGCGAACCTATGCTTGACAGAATTGAGCAGAAAAGCAGAGTTCTAAACTTCTAACAGTTCTAAAGACCAAATCACAAAATTTGGTGTGTGTAGCTACTTCTAACCAACTAGTCCAAAAAGCTGAATCTCAAGTATATGTTATTGTGAGAAGCATATCCAAATAATAATGCTATGTTTCTCCAGGAATTGATTAATTTCACAGTCCAATGTGTATGTGATATGATGGCCAATGGATCCAACAGCCACAAATAAGTACCAGTCCGTAACTGTCTGTAATTCAACCAAAATTAATTATCAGTCTGACAATGCATTATGTATGCTGTGTAATGTCTTGTCATAACTTGTGCCTTGTTTTGTCTTACCATGTGATCCTGGTTTGAGAGCAGGAGGTTCACCCGTCTTGGTGGCAGAAAATATTTTTTGTTCAATTCCTAAAAGATCACTGGAATCTGCCGCAAAGAAAGCACGAGTGGACTCCTGTGAAATAGTCTGAATGTCAAGGATATCTGCATTTTTGGTCCCAACCACAAACACCATCACACCAATTTCTTTCAACCTTTCTACTGCATTTCTGACATCATCACTGGACCGTCCACCAGTTAAGAGAATCAATATCTGAGGAACTCCCAGTTGATGTCTACTTCCAGAGGAGGCTGTGAAAACATGGTCTTTGACATACTGGAGGGCTGCACCAGTATTGAGGGGTCTGCCTCCTTTGTGCCTTAGACTTTGCACATTTTCCACAACATTTTGCTGAGTTGTGTATGTGTTAAGAAAAAATTCAACAGAAGGTTCCTTGCTGTATTGCACAACTGACACACGGTCGTTGCTTGCATCCACATCAAGTCTCTTTACCATCTTCTCAACAAAGCCAAGCATTGCCTGAAATTCATTTTGCATTTCATCTGAAGAATCCAGTAGAAATACAATATCATGCTGAATGGATTCATTTTGGTCTGCAGATCCTTTCACAAACACATTATGTGGTTTGATTCTTGGCTGCTGTCGAGGCACCCTTTTCACAAATGACACAAGTTGTTGATGGATGCTCCCAATATCATCAAATTTAGGCACAGAAAAAGCATAGGAAGGATTATGTGCAATCACTTGGAGCTCCAGTATGTCTGCATTTCTTGTGCCAACACAGAAAGGAACAACCTTTTCCTGTTTTAGAGCCACAGCTGCACTTGCAACATCATCTTGAGATCTTCCGCCAGTCAACAGAATCAATATCTGAGGGACACCTTCGTGATGCCGACTCCCGGAGGAATCAGTAAAAGCATTTTTTCTCACATAGTCTAGAGCTGCCCCTGTGTTGAGCAGACTCCCCCCTTTATGCTTCAACTCCTGGAGAGCATTAAAGACATCTTGTTTTTCCATGTAAGTGTTTAAACTGAAATGTGTCTGTGGATCGCTGCTATACTGGACCACAGAAACACGATCTTTGTTTTCACCAATACTGAGTGTTTCTACCACTCTTTGGACAACAGTTTTCATCGCTGGGAAACCTCTCCGTGTGCCATCTGACCCATCCAATAGAAACACTATGTCTCTTTGTGGGGACTCTAATTCAACTAGAAAAGAATAGAATACATGTATTTAATAATCAGACAGGCAGTGTTGCAATAATTACACTTTAGATGGTTGATAAAAACATTAGAGTAATTGTAAACAAACTAATTACTGCAAGCAAGTAGGTGTTAGATGCCAGTGTTACATGCCAGAAACTGAAAAAATGTCAAAATGAGAAATAATTGAATGAACAAACTTTGAGAAGACTACAAGAAGCTGATTTCTCTTCCACAAATGAAAGATGGAGAAAGCAGACAAAAAAGATTTCAGTGTTCTGTAATTCTGAATATTCAGTCAATGATGTAATTATCATTGGCTCAAGTAAGAGCTTAAGAACAGCTGAAAGAAATGACATTAGAGTCATAAAAGACTCTCCAAAATATATAAAGAAAAAGAATGACAGCCACAAAACAAAAAGCATAATCAGGAGTATGTCTCCAGCAAGAGGAGATAGTTTGACATACATGAAACTGATTGACTGGTATTCTTCAGAGGAGGATGCAGTTTCATTGCAGTTCAAACTATAAAAGACCTGTAATAATGCTGGAGTATGATCCAACTACGAAATAGGGCCACTTCTTACCGACAACAGTAGGAGGCTCAATCTGTATTTTGGACTGGACAAATGCAGTTATCTCCGGCTGAATGGACAAAAGTTCACCAAAGACAGGCAGGTGGAAAAGGAATCTGGAGGAGAAGGCAATTTTTTGAAGCTCCTGTTGTTTAGCATCTTTCATTCCAATGGCAAAAGATAGAACACCAGTTTGTTTTAGATCTGATGCAGCTCTGGTAACATCATCATTGGATTTGCCTCCAGTAAGTAAAAACAGAATCTGAGGGACACCCTCTAGTCTTCTACTCCCAGATGAATCTGTGAAAACATGGTCTCGCACAAATTGTAGAGCAGCCCCAGTGTTCCGAGATCTTCCTCCTTTATGGCGAAGACTTCTTACAGCATAAATTATGGCCGTTTTGGATCTGTGAGTTTTTAGGTTGAAGTATACTGTTGTGTTATCACTATACAATACAACTGCCACTCGAACTTTGTCTTCATCAATGTCTAGCTCTTCGGCCATTCTTCTGATGAATTCTCGAAAAGCAGGAAGTCCATTTCTGGAGCCATCTGACCCATCAAGTAGAAACACTATGTCCCTCTTTTTGCTTCCTGCATCAACAAGATGATACATGTGTAGAAAGAAAGAAAGAATTCTGCACATTAAAGACACTTGTAGACTCATGCGTATTCATCAGCATGAGAAAGTGAGAAGCTCAGACAAAAAGAAAAAACTGAGCACAAAAAGATGACCTGTTGCTCTGAAAGTTAAAACCGCCAAAGAACCATCTTTTTAGTCAAGAAGATGTATGACATGGCGATTTATCTTCAAAGCAATATCAAAGCAAATAATTAGAATGAAGTATAGAAGAGCCTTCTAGTCAGGAGATGTTGAGAGAATACTAATAATAATAATAATTCATTTTTCAAGACAGAAAACATTTTCTCATAAGTATCATGCAATTGAATGATGCACCAAATAAGACATTATTCATCTTATCAACTGTTGGGAATTTGTCTTGATTATTCTAGAAAATGAAACTTGCATTTTGGAATAAAAGTAATACTAAGTAATACTCTAATTTTAGGCATGAAATTGGATTCAAAGTGGAATCTTACCTAATAAATCAGAGGTTCCAGTCATGGTTTCCTGAGTTGCTTTGTTTATGTTCAGTGTAGCAACAAGTTGTGATTGGATTGAGGGCAACTTGGAAAAACCATTGACCTTGTATGTAAAACCAGGTTTGAAGGCAATCATTTCCAACTCTGAAAGACTGGCATCTCCCACTCCAACTCCCACTGACACAATTTCATGCTCTTTAAGAGCAAATGCTGGGCCTCTTACATTATCAGTAGAAGGTTTGCTACTTAGGAGAATTAAAATTTGGGGAACTCCCTCCAGTCTTCTACTGCCAGTGGAGGAAGTGAAGACACTGTGTCTCACAAACTGGAGAGCTTCCCCAATATTAAGGCGCCTTCCACCCTTGTGCCTTAAATTTTCTATGGCATTTATGATGTCATTCTTTGTCTTGTGAGAATTTAGATAAAAGCTGACCTCAGGGATATCAGCAAACTGAACCACAGATACTCTGTCTTGGCCTTCACTGACAGAGATGCTCTCCACTATACTCTTAACAAAGAGCTTTATATCTGGGAATCCATTTCGTGTGTTATCAGAGCCATCCAGTAGGAACACAAAATCTCTTTTTAAGGCATCACTTTGTTCTAAGACATAAAAGGAGTCAGTTGTCATGATAAAGCACAAAATCAGCCATCAAACAGCAATTGTAACATGCAAATAGGAAGATTTTTCTTACCTTGCTGCAGGACAAGGGTTAGCTCTTCCCTGGGAAGGCTCACATAGTTATTGAGCCTTTGTGGTACGGTGCTAAGCTCACTGAATTCCTTCACATTGAAGGCAAAGGAAGGGTTGTGAGAGATGGCCTCAATCTGCTTTGGGTCTGCATCCTTGACACCAACACCAAATGGTACGACTCCCTCTGTCTTCAGTGCACCAGCAGGCTCCTTCACATTGTCCCTGGACCTGCCTCCAGTCAAAACGATTAGAAACTGAGGGACGTTTTGGGCAGCTCGGCTACCATAAGCTTCAGACAAGATGGTTTCCTTCATGAATCTTAGAGCAGATCCTGTGTTTAGACTTCGTCCACCAGAGGGTGTCATTGAGTTGACAGCATTTATCACATCATCTTTGGATTGGTAAGTGTTGAGGTAAAAACTTGGGGTTGGCCTCTCATTGTGTTGAACCACTGAAATCCTTACCCTGTCAGTTCCAATGTCGAGTGGTTGAATTACTTTGATTATAAAATCCTTGACATAGGCAAAGTCTGCTCGAACATTGTCTGTGCCATCAATGAGGAAGGCAACATCCCTTTCCCTTCCGGTAACAGTAACTACGGGAAAACAAAATTAACTGTTACCAACAAAGCTTTTTATTACAGTTTAATATTCTGACATCACATTTATTTCTTAACATTTCTTATATTAAAAAAGACTCACCAGGCTCTTCTGTTTCCTCTGGGACAGAGCTCACATGTGTATCGCCAACCACTGTTATCAACGTTGGCATGATTACTTCTGCCATAGCTGGTAAATTAGAGAAGCTTCTTTCATGGTAAGCCAATTCTGGAACAAAGGCAACTGTTTTCAGGAGGGTGTCATCTGCTTGCCCAGAACTGACTGTGAAGGTCAAAACTTGATTGACAGCCAAGTCATTAGCTACTCCCTTGACCTCATCCTGGGATGGACCTCCTGTGATCAGAACCAACACCTGCTGGACTCCTTGCCTCTTGCGTGACCCAACTGATTGTTTGTACATTTTGGAGAGGGCATGATTCAAGGCAGCTCCTGTATTCAAAACTGAGCCTCCAGTCAGCCTGAGTTGAGAGATTTTATTCACAACATCTTGCCTGGTGCGGTGAGAGTTCAAATAAAATTCAATTTTTGGATCTTCAGCAAACTGCAGGAGACCAATCTGGACCCTGTCAGGGCGTACATCTAACTGGTTGACCACATTGATTATGAAGTCTCTCACATAGGGCCAGTTAGTGTTGCCAATGTAGTCTGAGCCATCCACAAGGAAGACAATGTCTCTGACCACTTTTTGAGTCTGCACAGTGGTTATCTCCACCACTAAGAAAAAAAACCCAAAAGAAACAAATAATTATTAATTTGTAAAACCATGTGCCATGCATAACATCAATTGATTGTCAATGGCGCAGTGTTGCTAATATCGTTGAGATCTGACCAGTAACTTCACACATCAGAGAGAATTTAATGGATCAATTTTACATGCTATTAAAATCCTGCATTTTTTTTCCTTGAAATATATGAAAAATGTTTGGAATACAATACCTGGCTCAGTTGGTACTTCAGTCACAACCACCCCAGCTAGAGTGGAGAGTGCATCAATAATTGGTCTTGGGTTGGGTTGGCGAAGGAGTGAACGGAAGTCCTTCAGAATAAACACAACGCTGTCAGCAAAGGCAATATGACTCAGTTCCTCCCGAGTAGCAGTCTTGGAGCCTACAGCCAGAGTCAATACACCCATTTTAAGCAAGGCCTTGGCAGGTTCATCCACTTTGTCACTGGACACTTTACTGGTCATCAATAGTAAAAGTTGGGGTATCCCCTGTTGAATACGACTGCCCTTCTCAGGCCGTATCATATTCGTTCGCACAAAGTCCAAAGCTGCTCCAATATTGACTGTCTGTCCAGGTCTTGGTTTGATAGTGCCCAAGGCAGCAGTCACGGCGTCTCTGGATCCATGGGAGTTGAGATCCATCTCAAGTCGAGGAACATTGCTGAACATGGCCACACCCACTTGAACATCGTCAGGACCAATTGGCATGGTGTCGACAAACCGCTTGATGAATTCGCGCACAGAGTTGATCAGCGTTGCACCCATTGTACTGTCAATAAGGAAAATGATGTCTCGTTTTCCAACTGTCAAGACTGAAAAGAAAAGAAGAATTCTACATGAATGACAATAAAAACACATTTTTAGACAATACATGTTAATAAATGTGTGAATATTTAGTTAACATATGCCACCAAGGATTTTCTATAATTAGATTTATATTTTGTAATTCTGGTCAATTAATTTGGATATGTGTTACCTAATACTGACCCTAAATGGGATGCCTTCTAAATGTTTCATTGAGTAAATGCATTTCTTTAATGCATGTTTTGGTTTTCCTTATAGACAGACACAGTGGAACAGTTAAGCTAGAAATGAGGATATAAACTCTCAACAATATCAATAATTAATCCAGAAAATTTAAACAAAAAAAATACTGCAGAGTGATCCTGAACCTTGTTTGATTTGGTAAGAGTTGATTTTTAAGTCTTGGTCAATCATATAGTTCCTAAAACAATTTAACTTTATTTCAAACCATAATATGGGTTATTTCTTCAGCACTGCAGCTGTTAGGACTTTATGTTCTTTCTTGACGTTTTTTGAGTAAAAAAAATATAATTATGTAATAGAATGCAATTCTTGAAATTATTTAAGTCAAGCAGACATTTTTGGGTATTTATGAAATGATGTGGACACAACCAGTTAGCTAGTAGCTAATTGTAGTAGCTGTATTCTATGTATCAGATATACAGATAGAGGGGTATTACCCAGGGAGTAAATCTGGAATTAACAAGTCGCTAATCAAAATAGTCATACATTCAGTAAGGCAAAAGAATGATTTGTCATTTACTCACAGTACTTCGAATAGTATAGAATAGTTCTCGTCTCTGCTGTCTTGTTTTGAACTCCATTTTTTAATATATAGCCTTAAAATACTTCAAGTACCTCATCAATTCCGAGGTCGAACCTTATGATCTATTCATAATATATATTTGTGATGCAATTTTCCTAGTTTATACTAACTGAGATAATGTCCCACCACGATGTATAGTGTTTAATAAATTAAGTTCTGAACTATGTAGTAAAGTATTACGCCTTTCAAGTGCTTTTCTCTTACTAGAATGTCTTTTAATTCACAATTGACAATTAATGTTAAGCACAAACATATCTTACCTTGTTTACTGAATTATAAAAATTATGGGTTCATTTAATTGATTAATTCCCCTTCCAAAACCATAGTGCCCCATCAACATTTACAGAGAAGTTACATACCTTCTGTGAACTCATTCTGTACTATAATGGTGCGTTGGACCACCCCGTAAATGTATGGGAGCAGCTGGGGACCCATGTTTGCCACTGCTCTGAAATCAGGTGCTGACAGGACAAAACTTTTGTCTGTAGCTACTGCTTCCAGATCTGCAGTGGCGGTGTCACCAATCGTCATGCCGACCGTGATGACGCCAGCCCTCTTAAGGGCCCGGTCACCAGCACCAGTATCGTCTGTGGATGGCCCAGCACTTATAACCACCAGCGCCTGTGGCACACCCTCATCTGCCCTGCCCCCAGCTGTTTGGCCCAATATGTTTTCGGCCACTTCCTCCAAGGCAGCCCCAAGGTTAGATTCGTCGCCCCCTGAGTAGGTAAGGGCCTTCACGGCTTCCAGGACTGACGATTTGCTGTCATAGCTATTTAGATAGAACTTTATCTCTGGGTGGGAGTTGTATAGGGCCAAGGCCACCCGAACAGTGTCCCTGCCCACATCAAGGGGCTCAATGATTCTCAAAGCCAAATCACGCACAAAGGGGAAGTTTGCTGCTCCAACGTTCTGTGATCCATCAATTAAGAATACTAGGTCAGCTGAATCTTGTGCTTTAAGGAGAGAAAGAGAGAACACAACAAAATGGAACTTGTGAAAGCGTTAACATAGTGGGACAGAGACAAAGAATTAAATCAAAGAACTCGTGCTAGCATGTCATTGCATGTGTCAAGTAATGTTCAGAGTGAACAAATCAATAACAGTGAAAAACACATCATACTGCATGTAGGCTGAACCCAGGAGATTTCCTGAAGTGATGTATGTGATGCAGATTTTTGTACATATGCCCTAATTTCTCAGGAATGCTGTAAAATGTAATGTGCGATGTAATGTAATTTCTTGCCAATCACACTATTTTCTGGATGAATTTTGAATAGTGTGGCAATTTGTATGAACCTCTAAATAATCAATAATATAAAATTAATTTTCATGGTTAGCAGTATAACAGCTTAGTTGTGCAGAGGCAGATTAGCATTCTGGCAAACTATAAGGCCAATAGAATCAAACATAATATTGATTGTTACAACAATTGGCAAATGGCCAAAGAAAGTATCACTCTGACTGAAGGACTTAGTATGTCTTTTGTATAAGCTCCACTGAGTACAGCCATCCCATGCAGACTCTTGTTACGGACCTCAAATAAAATGACCAGTCATGACCCTGTGGCCCATCATTGGTGCTTACAGTTTACTGTACTTGAGAATGTCTTAGTCGCATATTAAAATGAGTAAAACTAATACTGATGCTTCCAATTTGTTTTGAATTGCAGTGGCAGTGTCCTCATTGAACACTTTTTACGAGCACTCTTCATTGAAATTCACTCAATATATTGGACATCATTTCTAGAAACCTACATATAAGAACATTCACCAAGTACTTCTTCTGTAGCAATGTCAAAGATGATTCCAGGCAGGTTCATCACTGTTTCAAATACACAATATTGCATATATTTTACACAAATAGACATTGTGACTGATAAAGACAAACATATATATGCAAGACATATAGGCAGTTGTGCATGGTTAGCTATTGTTAAAAGCTCTTTGATTTTGAATGAGTTTTTAAGAGTATTGATCTTTGAGATCATCCTTTTCTTCAAGAAATGTCTGAATGTTTTTTAATCTGAGGTGTCACTTAATCCATTTTACCATTTCATTCTGTTGCTGTCTATAAATGTGTCCTCTTTCTTACAGCTGTAAATAATCAGGCATCATGTAAAAATTGGGCTAAAAGTAGTTATTGCTGATACCAACACAACTATATTAATTATGAGTTTTCAAAGAATCTCAGGCAGAATATTTATAATACTCAAACATGATTTACTGAATCCACATTTGATGTGATTTTACACAGTATATATGTCTCTGTATTACAAAGTGAACACTCTAAGATGCAGTAGGGGTGTCAATCACATGCAAATCCTACTTTGATTTTAAAAGCATTAGGGGTATATTAAATGTGCTAAGACAAACCATGTGATGTTAATTTTGCAGGTGGATAGTGAGAGGTTATTGTGGTTAAAAAAAAAACATAATAATGTGTTAATAATAAATCCCAGACATGACCACATATGCAGTGTCTTCTACCTGCACATGTAGACTTATTAGTATAGAAGTGACACTGGTCCCATTTCATTACCTGTCCCTCCTCCAGCCACAGGGGCCTCATTTGCCACAGGAGCCCCCCATGACTGGGTCACTGCGCCGCAAAGACTGACTACTAAATCTTGGATTATATCCCGCAAGGAGAGGAATGAGTCTACACTGAATACATGAGTGTCGGGAGGCTGACTAGCCATCTCCCTGAGCTCCAACTCCACTGCATCCTGAACTCCAACTGCAAACACCTCCACGCCTGCCATCCGCAGGACCTGAGCTGGCTCGACCACGTCATCCTGGGATCGCCCATCTGTTAGCACCACCACCACCTGCGCCACTCCTTCAGCAGCCCGGCTGCCCGATGCAGCAGTCAAGTGTGTACGTATCAAGAATTCCAGGCCCAGGCCAGTGCGGGTGCCCCCACCACGATAAGACATAGCCTTGATGTGTGCCAGGACTCCCTGTGTTGTTGGGTAGCTGTTGAGCTGGAACTCAGTCTCAGGCCTGGTATTGTACTGCACAAGGGCAAATTTAAACCTGTCCTCTCCAACCTTGTGCAGCGATTGTATCAAGCTGTACAGAAAATGTCTGACATGCTCATAGTTCTCCTGTCCCATACTCCAAGATGAATCCACTAGAAAGTATACATCAGCTGCCAACCCTTGTGCACAATCTTCAAAAGAGAGTGTATAAAGGACAGAAGTGAAGACCAGTGAAAAAGATGCTTCGTGTTTGGTACCAAAACATTGCTTCAGTACCAAAACATGAATATAACTGTCATGGTTTTAAATGAAATTCTAACTTTGACAGAATCATTTTGCTTTGTTTATCAAAAGCATCTGACTGGACTTGGTACTCCACTTTTGGGATCTCGGTTTTTTTCTCACTGAGATACACCAATTGAAATCACATTTTAACATTATAGTAATCATTATATTAAGTTCACCACCAATGCTTATTAGAGTGAAGAAAAAAATCATTCTTTACTTTATACTTGTTTTTGTTTAGTTAGAATAGGCATACATTGAATATTTAAACAGGTGTAGATGTAGATTCATTATTTTACAGACAACATCATATCTTGCTAAGCATTGCTGAAAAGAGAGATCTTCTGCAAAATGATCGCACTGCTGTCTGCAACTGAGATTAACTTGGTTCAGCTTACCTTCCTGAGCATCAAGTTTAGGGAGAAATCCTGCAAACAGGACACCCAGAAGCGCACAGAACGGTAACAACCGATGCCTCCTCATCTTCAGAAGAAAGAAAGGGGACACCTGTGAAATTAAAAACAAAAAAATACATGAATATGAACCGGATACAAACCCTACATGAACATATTTACGTACAAACATGGTTTTCAAGGTTTTCACTTTTTTTTTACGTTTCTCTTGTAGGGATATCCTTTAAAAATAAAAAATGCATTCGCAAATTTTACTGCACAACACTGCACAAGCTTTCATATTTAACACACCACAAGAGAAAAATAGAGAGGAAAAATATTGCACGAATATGAGCAATGTAAGTGCTGCAGTGTGAACACAACTCAATTAATAAACCATTTCAGAGGAAAGCTTTTAAAACCAAACAAACTAAGAATTGACTATTGCAACCTTCTAATTCTTTTAAGCATTTTTTAAAACCTTTTTTTAACCTTTTCACGCACACAGTCTGGATGACTACCTGAGTACCATCAGTGCAGGCCAGGGAGCCACCGTGATGGTAATGATCAAAACCACCTGTTAAAACTACCAGCCAGTGTGTTTTAGTAATTAACTGTGCTTGGCAGGGACTGAACTTTCCACCTCACAAAATAAGTGTTGCATTGTTGGACTGGAAAGTCTTTATGACAGCAGGGGTGGGTGTCTTCTATTCATTTCAGAGTCTTCGTTAATGTCACGGGAACTGAAATAAAGTTGGCTGACTGCTGATCTGATATATTTAGCCCAATAAGAAAGTTTGTACATGTTGAGGAAAGTATGCAGCCTTTTGCATTTAGTTATGTAGCCTACAGCACAGGAAATCTTCCAACTCAAATCTGATCAAGTATTATAACTTCAACTGTATTTGCCAGCACTGATTTTTTTTCAAACAGAGTTGTTCATTTATGATTTGCTATTAATAACTGATGCCAAATCTTTCTCAAAGTGTACAAACACAAACAGACACACACACACACACACAATCATGACTGTTCCTTAGCCCAGAGAGTTTTGAAAAGCAATAGGATTGTCGTCACCATTTTCACATTTTCACAAGGTGGATCTAGCAGTACATAAAAGCTGCCTGAGCAGGAAAATAGAGAAATGAACACACTGACGCAAACTTAAGACTGTAAAACTATAATGTGAGAAAAACATATGCCATCCAAATTAACCCAAACTTCCAACTGTGAACTGGCAGACTTGTCATTCTGTAACAAAGCCTATAAATGGTGAAATCTTCATCACTGACTTAAATGATGGAAAGTAAAAGTTATAATTCTTGGAGTCTGTTCCTCTGGGCTTAGGCGGCAAGGATGCAAAGTGGTGTTTGCATCATTATTCCCAAATAAGTGTCTATTTTATTTGAACTGAATTAACTTTTCCCACAATGTACAGCCAACTAAGTCAGTCATGGACCCAGAGTTGTAACTATGTCCTCTGGTGGAAATTGCAGGTATAACACAGTTTCATAGATTCTTATTAACAAAGCACATACAAATCATGTGCTCTTTTAATGGAACATGAAGTCACGTGGAGTTTTTGTAAAGTGGAGTAGATGTTAATGTCTACAGCACCAGTGACATCATGTTGTGTTTTTAACTTAATGTTTGTGTTTTCAACCACCATATTTAAAGTTGAGGATTGGCTCATTTTTGTGCTGTTTTACCCAAAATAACACACTCCCATACAACCACTTTCCTATTTTCGGCCACTGAGCAGTTGGAGGTTAAGAATCTTGCTCAAGGGCACAAACCCACACAGAGCCTCAAACTAGCAACCTTCCAGGCATAAGTCTGATTCTCAGGGTTTATGTCATCCTTAGTTTATGTTATGCTATTTGCAGTGCCCCACTGTTAAGAGGTTTTGCAACTACGCATCAAGTTCATCATTGCAGCCACTTAACATGAACAGAAAAGGGGAGGATTTGGTGTCACTTAATTATGAATTTGCCAAATTCTATAACCCAGGCTGCACATGTCTTAGGCTTGAGAGCTAAAGCCATCCACAGAAATAATGAGCAGTAAGCACATGGCTGAAATTTGTAATGAAACACTACAGCCACAGTTTGTACTTTGCTGTGTTCCAGTGTTAATGCAAACCACACAATGCATAGTAGAATGAAACTGGCGTAACCAGTGGGAAAAGGTAGAGTAACAGTGCATTTGTATATGAGTTGTGTGATCATCAAAATACTCTGAATGAACACAAAAAACATAATTTTAGGTATGTTGGATTTACAGTTAAAGGCTTTAAACGAACTGAAAATGAAAGAGGGCAGCAAGAGTTATGTCATGGCTGAATATCAGTGTCATGTATTCTACAACAAATACACTATCCCACTGTGAACATGAACTGATCATTCTGTAGTGGTCATAAAGGTCATTACTATTGCACATTTAAATATTCAGTGATAATCTTTAACTTATAAAACGCATGTGTAAATATTTTGTGGGGGGCCATTTTAACAACATAAGGAAAGTTGAACAATATATTCTTTGACCGAGTCCACATTGGCAGTAAGAAATACTTTATATTTCCCTGCATTTCCCAGTGCTGTCACTAGCCAGCCCCAAATGCCAAAGTTCCTTTATTTTAAGGAAATGTAAACTCTCCTGGACAGTGTTATAGATGTTTGTGTTCTCCACTCATGCTCATGTGATTCCAGGTCACTCAGAAGCCACTCTTCTGCAAAGTTTGCCAGGCCTGGCCATGCAGTGTGTCAACACTATGGTTTCCCTTTGCAGCCACAGAGGAAAACATAGTAGCACAGTGGAGTCCTGTTTTCTCTAATTCAAGCATCCAAAACAACGACAGCAATAATGCATTTTCTTTGCTATTCCGTAGGGACTGAAGCTTTGTAACAAACTGAATATCAAACTCACATTTAACATATTATCACCAAAAGAAACCTGTCAGCAAAAAGTTATCAAACTTGACATTCATGTTGAGCTTTTGGTCTTACCTAACTGCTGAGGGAGATTTAAATTAATATCTATATAGCTGCTGTTTGCCACAGGACACAGGAAACAGCTTCATTTGGTGGAAGCAGGAGGACTGAACCACTCAGCTTAAACCATCAGCAACATACTTCTGGCATTCATACATTATTCAGTAACTTCATTTGATAAAAATCCTGAGCAAATTGTACTTATCTGTGTTTGTATGTGCCTTATTTTCCAGGCACAGATAAACCCCACCCTGGACAAGATCCAAAGGGTTAGGGGAATATCGGCATGTATTGCTATTACTGAGTCTTTTTTGTCACTGCTGCATAGGGATTGCTATTTTCCAACTTTTCCAAACCTATATAGGGATTTTATCTATTTATATAGAGCTAATCCAGTCTTCTGGACCACTCAAAGCGCTTCACACACAAAACCATACAGTGTTTCATCATGCAGCACTTTTCATCATTCAAACACTTTCTGCACAGCCATAAGCTCCGTATGTGTTGTGATAGGCTTTACTTTAACTTCACTTTAGCATATAGTCAGCATGAAGTCAACATACAATATTCAGTTTATGATATCCACTGGGCAGAACATATCCATACACTTAACCTGTAACAGCATATATGTGTCTCTCAGTTTTTTTGTTAACATCAACATAGTCAGTTTGCATGTACACAACACGGCTGACACTGCTTGTGCCCATGAGCACACTGGAGCATGTTGGTAGCTGGACCTCACACAGTCTTTTATGGCAAAGATAGACCACACACTAACACTTACATACACAAACAGCAGCACACGGTTCCATCAGCTTCAGTAGCAGAAAGTTATATAATGCTAACTGCACGTTCACCCACTGCAGGACACAGTTCAATCAATCAATCAATCAATCAATCAATCAATCAATCAAATATTGTTTGTACAGCCCATATTCACAAGTCACAATTATGCTTATATGGGCTCTGTCCTTAACCCTCAATAAGAGTAAAACTACTGTTCAGACACTTCACAGGCACATGAGGTATTTTCAGAACACTGCAGCCAGTTAAATTTTTACACCAAAAAATAAATACCAAAATGCTGACTACAAAATACTTAAAGCAAATACTTAAAGCAGATATAATCTATATATTTTTTAATATATTTGGATCACATGACTACTTAGTCTATCAATGAAAGCAGCTGCCTCTAGTGACACTGAGAATAAATCAGCAAAACTCTGCAGCCTCCTGGAGCAATTATACAGTCAAGGACATTTTTTGACATGAACTTCTAAGGATGTGTTTTTGTCCATGCACAAGACATCTCTTTCTACAAACTGTTGAGAAAAATGAGTGAGACGAGTGAGGTGCAAAAGGATGCGGCTGCAAAGCTGCTTCAGAATGTAAGACAGCTCCACACTGCCACTCACTGGCTTCACATAGTCAGGGGCCTCATGTTCAAACAGTATGTATGACTTTGAAAGCACAGATCCTGGTGCGCTACAGCAATCCTCTGCATGCATGAATCTATTATAGAGCTGCATGGACCAGCAATTCCAGCTGGAAGGATGTGACGGGCTATGTGTGACACACGAGAGGAAGGTCGATAATGGGGTTAAGATTCGGGGGGGGGGTAGGCTGGGCAGGTAGATCCACACAGCTGACTTGTATTAGCCTATCTGACACCTAGCAGATGTGGGTTCAAGCACAATGGTCGATGTAATGCTGGCTGAGTTCAAATGTTCAGCTCGACCCTCATGCAGTATTAGTTAGCATGGGAGAAAAGCAGTACATGACAAAACTGCTTGTAGCAAGGAACTCAATATTCATTGTTAACAGCTGAGTGAGATCAGTCAGTAAGGTGAGGTCATTTCAAAGACTGGACTAGGGTCTGGTGCACTATATTTTCTCAATCAAGACCTTGGAAGTGCCAAAGATGACTTCTGAAACTCTCCCACAAGTATATGGTGCTCTGACCAACCTGTAGATAGTTTTTCATTTTTCTTGCAATTGATGATCGTAATTTAAAAAAATTGCACCAGTACTTCTCTGAAACTAGACCTCATTTAAAAAAAATGTTCCAACGTAGCAGACATCTGTGCTGCATCATGGAGAAAAAAGAAAAAAGCTGGAGAGCGTGGACGGGTCATAAAACATACAAATTCTGATTAATGCTGCATCCCCTAAAACCCAAAGCCATCGTGGTGCATCTTTGCCAGTAAAGTTCAGATGTTGGCTTCCAAGAGTAGCTGCATTGTCATAATGCTGGTAGTAAATTATGTATAAATACCTCAAAGAAAACCAAATCTGGAGCGCACACCAAGATTCCCTTTTGCTTTTGCTTTTTGGGGCCAAGTTCTTCCTTCCTGTATCATAGCAACCAATTTCATGCAAACATAAAACTGTGGAATAAGTAGCTCAAGAGAATTATTAATGGCCAATTTCCACTGTAATTTCATTATGTTGTGACTCAAAAGAATAAAATAACTTAATTTGTGCACCAAATCCCAGATGCACGCAGTGAAAGACTAAGCTGAATTCCTGTCGCTGCTTGGGCAGTCTTGTAGAAGAGGTGGAAGATTAATGACTTACACCTGGTCCATTAAACCCTGCAACCCACCACTACCACACACACACACACCCACACTCCATCTTTTTTGTCCAATGGATTAAACCCCTTCTGGTTCTCCTGGTTCATCTGGACAGGGGTATGGAAAAGACTCTCTTCGCACTTTTCCACTGCTGCACTCCTTTCAGAGGGTGTGGTTTTGGGCTACTGCTGCAGTGGAAACATCTACTCATCCAATTACTCCTCTTTGGAGCTCTCAGTTGCGGGTGTGGAGCTTTGCAAATTAATTGAATGATCAATTGAATTACTAAAAGCCTGTGCACAAGAATGAGCTACTGAACAATGACCTGTGACATCTCTCATCCCTTGATATGACATGCAGTATTTAGCAGTGTTGGATGGTGACATAAATAATCTGTTGCTGCTCTCATCAAACAAAAGGCACACAGCTTCACACTGATTCGGGGTCACAGCTAAAGACCTCAGATGCAACATCTCAAGGATTTTGTTTTCACTCACCACAAATCTATGAGCCAAGAATGTCAAACAGAAGAGTAGCAAGGGAAAACGTTTTGAAAGAGAAAAAGAGAGCACACACTCTCCACTCACATGCAACATGCAGGCTACATGACATTGCTGAGGACTCCTCCTTCACCCTAACTGCAGCTCACCTCTTGCCCTAGCAGCACTCTTACCACTAAAGTATAGGCTTCAGTCTTGTGCTAAACGCATGCTGTCTGATATTTATGAGCTAGAATCCAAAACCTCTGTGCAATGCTGTAGTTATGACACCCATCATAAGCTCACATGTTATGACTAGAAACTAGTCATAAAGTAGGACAATTTAAGTGTGCAAAAAGTATAATCTTTCTGCAACTTTCTCCAACGTAGCAAAGTAAAACTTACCCTGAGCTGAAGTAGTTGTGCTCCAATGTATTAGTTTTTTGAGGGAAAAAAACTGTTATGTAAAATGCCTACAAGCTGGACTTTTGGTCATTATCCTCCTGGTAAATTCCCCTTGCTGGCTTTTCCAGCACCTCCCGAGGGAAGGTAGCTGAGCAAAGCAGTGATAAGGTCCCCGATAAGAGATGTACAGACGAAGGGGTCCTGAGTGAAGAGGGAAATGGTTGAGACAGAAAGAGAGAGACACCCTTTCAGTCTCAAACCAGAGGAGCTGTGGTGCTGAGTTCAAGTCTGGGATGGGAGAAACTTCCAAACTCCTGGAGTTCTGCCACTTCTCTGTTCCTCCTCCCACTTTTTCTAAAGAAAGGAAAAAAGAAAAAGAGCAGGGAGAGAAGAGGAGAGGGTGAGCTGGGGACTGAAAAGTAAATGAAAAGCAGACACATAGCCCTGTTTGGTCTGGATGTGAGCAGTGGGGAGGATGATGTCACAAACCTGGAGCAGGAATAATTCCTTACCTTTTCCTACGTCAAGCTATGTCTTCCTCTACCTCTGTTGAGCCCTTTTTTGAGCCTTCCATTTATTGTATTTTGGATATTCTCTTAGTTTTAAAAAATCTAAAGAAATTCCTATGGTAAGCCAAATAATTATTCTGTACCTGTAACAGTTGAGCAAAACCACATTATAATCTGAGTAACCTACCTGTATTGGTAAACTGATGTAGGCAAGTTAATCCTGAAGTTTGTATATACTATATACTATGTCAGTTTACATCCACTGTCTGGCCAGCTGAGAAATATGATGGGTTGTCTATGGGCCATCTTGGAAAGAAGTGTCACCAAATAAAACAAATGAACTCTTAAATCCCCCACAAAGGAATGTGTGAGACAGTGTTCTGGCAGAGGTTGAAAATGTGAATGCTGTTAAGGAAAGACAGCGCTACACCGCCATGAACTTAGTTGTTTATTGCAGCTACAAAATGAAAGGCGTCTCAGCAAATGCGGCCCAGAACACTCATGAGTTGATTTTTATTACCATCTCCTCACAGAGGCACATTTTGCAGAATAAATAGACCAGATTAGTTTAGATTACTGTGGATGTAGCAAATGGAAAAAACACACACACACTTACATCTTGGAGGTTTCATGAGAGACTTTAGCTTTGTCCCAGCTTCTGCACAGTGTTCTTGTTTTCACACCAGGGAAAAGCCAAAATAAAAAAAACTAAATCCAACGTATATATAAAAATGTTATTCTTAAATGAGAGAGAGTTTACATAGACATAAGTGACATAAGTGTTAAAGCTGTAATGGGTGTTGTTTTATGTTAGCACTTCATTAAATGTCATGTGTAATGTCCTCTTTCACCTAACTCTGCAGCATCCCACAGCTCTGCGGAGCATTTTGGCTTCTTTATTGTTTGGCTTTTCAAGCCCGAAAATAGCAGCAGCAGGAAGCATTTTCAGTGGAGAGACATCTGATAAAACTACTCTTTACACCCTACCCAGCTCCAAACAGGGGCTGCTAGGGTATTTTTTGCGAGGAGCATTTTTCTCCCTTTTGATGGGCTTGCAATCTGTCCAGGTTGTGCCCCGCCTCTTGCCTATTGTCAGTTGTGATTGGGTCCTGCCCCCCACTACCCACAAGGGAGAAGATGATGGATGGATGGTAAACAAAACAGACATAAACTTCATGCAGCTTTGAATATCTCAGATTGGTGTTATGATTTATTTTATTTACTGGCAGGTGACCACTGAGTTTGTATATATATTGTTTAATCTACATATAATATAGTTTGAATCATTATTAAATAGTGTTTAATACTATATACAATGAACTACACAATTTATCTAAGTATCAAGAGCAAGTAACACTCTTCTCTTCTTCCTAAGTTCTAGTGAAAGAGAGGGAGGATTTCTGTAGTGTTTGTCTGACAGTGAGCTAAAACAGACTTTCTTCCCAGAGGTCAGTGTGCTGTGAAACTCACTTCACTCCCTCACAGCTGTGTGAATAAAGGTTGAAAGCTTCACTCTCACATCAGGTGAGGTAATCTCTGTTACAACTCTGTACTGTGAACCTGCAGATCTAATATTTTGTAATTCATAAAATGCATGTAATATTGTAGTCGCACATTGGCAATGTGAGTGTTGTGCCAATAGAGCACATTGAAACATGAGAGAGAGGTAGAAGAAGAGAGAGAAAGAGAGAGAGAGAGACCATATGGAAGTATTTATAACACTGGTCCAATGCATGTTCTGTTTTCATTACACCAGCAACATTTCCTGCGAGCCACTGCAGTGTTATGATGGTGCTATGCAACCACTGTTGTAATGTCCATGTTACATGTTCAGATAGAAAAGATCTGATAAGCAGAAATAACGAGTGATTCACCAGCTTCTTTAAGAAAAGTTACAGTATTTGTCTCTTACTCTGAACATGCAATGTCAGTCTTTATTCGGTGGATTCATCCATTTTGTGAAGTTAGATCAAAGCAGGACATGGGCAGACCAACTAAATCCACTTTGTCTTTTATCATTGGGAATATCTTCCCTTGTGAGCACTAACCTGACACAGACCCTCCACAATCGAAACCTTACGAGAGTGTGACTCTGTGTGACCAGGACCAATATATCTGTGATGTTAATGTCACACAGCCTTTTGCAATTGCCTGAGATGACTAGGTCTCTGTGGAGAAGGATTCTTTGATGCAAGGTGACTTCATGTGGGTGGATGAAAGTGCAGTCTGCTTCCTGTGATTCTTTTTGAAAGCTGACCTGACTCTTGTTCCTCTCATTAATAACTGCCAGCTTTCATAACACTAACAGGTAGGCTATGTGACACAGGGTAGATGAGAGCAATTCTTAAAAAAGAAATAAATAGCCATTTTCTTCAACATGCAGATGATGTTTTGGGTGTGGTTGAAATGGCGCTTTGTTCCCTCAGTATGTGGAAATTATGAAAAGCATTGAAAATGTATCCCTAACCCTGTAAAACCTTGAACACTGATTGTTTATTCTATTCTCAAATCAAAGCATGACACTCCCCACCACATAACTGAAGTATTCAAACTGGTTTCTGGAAGTTGCTTTTCTCGCCTGTGAAGACGTTACTATTAGGAACAAACTGTTCACTGGCCAGTTTGAGGAAAATGCACATGTTGATTCCACCTACATACTTATTTCCATTGGCGCATAAGCAAACAAATGGGTGGAGATGCATGGGCTGGCCCCCTCGCACCATGACTGATGAGGAAAGTATTAATAATCACAGTAACTGTAGATGCTCAACAGAAGGAGCTGCAAATGAGAGAGAAGGGAGAAACACAGAGGAGTCTTCTTTTCTTTTTTTTTTTACCATTTTACAGCTTCCTCCCTTCGGCCATAACTCAACACAAGTATGTGTATGAGCTCATGTGTAGTCTGTTGAATTCATGTTCACCCTGACCATTGACATACATAGGATTTTAGAAACAGCAAGGTCCAAAAACTCAGCTGCATACATGTTCACAACAGTTAACATCAGCTTTGAAGCCATGTCAGTGGGCAGTGGCATAAATGATCTGCCAAGCAGCAATCAAAAACAGCTTAACTGTTGTAATGAATAATAAAACAATAACAATTGTATATATATATATAATTTTCATACATGCTGCTTTCCTGCTTCCAAGTCACAATTCATGGTCTGTATCTTCGTCAAATTCGTTCCAACTTGATTAAAAGAAAACTGACAGCCCCAATTCAATGTGGGCGGCTGTGGCTGAAAGCGGTCGTCCTCCAACCACAAGGTCAGCAGTTCAATCCCAGTCTTCCCCCATCTGCAGGCCGAAGTGTCCTTGAGCAAGACCCCGTATTGCCCCTCATAGAAAAAAAGTGCTGCTAATAGAGGCACTTTATGAATGTGTGTGTGAATGGGTGAGTGGCAGACTGTAGTGTGAAGAGCTTTGATTGTAATTAAGACCTAAAAAA